TGAGATTACATACATACATAAGAAGACAAGGTGTCATTTTACTTACTATCTGAGTATTACGCGGCGCGCGGGTGAACCTTTTCAAGTAGCTGAAATTGTCTTTTTTCAACCAAGCTACGGAACGTTTCCTTTTGGAGCAGCTCTTCGTTGGCAATAAAGTTTGTTAACGATTAATTAATACCCGTGTCGTATAGTACCAAATCCTACCTGGAGGTCAACTGCCACCGATACAGCGCAGCTTTGCTGACGTATCTCCATCCCTCGATTCTACTATTCCATAAGCTGCGACGCTCGCAATATTCCCAATTATGCCTTTAGATCAGCGTGTGACACGTCGAGCACCCGTTCTGGGCAAACACTCGGCCATGCAGTGCGATGAGTGCATGAAATGGGAGCACGTACACTGCGCGTCAATGAGCTCGGAATTGTACAGAGCCTTGAAAGATCACTCGTTTGACCACATCCTGTTTCTTTGCACCACCTGTAAATGTGCACGACAGCATGTTCCCGCGAGTTCCGGTTTACTGACAGCGGGCAAGGAAACTCCTTCGAAGCGGGCTTCTTCCAGATCTCCGAGCATCCAAAAAGAGACGAGTCACACAGTCAGCACAACCTACAACAATGCGTGATGCCATTGCAACTCCCACTATCAGTGACCGCTCACAGTCAGTTGAAACAACAGATAAAGCAGCCACTACTTCTGAGGATAGATACCGACTTTGTGTTAACCAGAAGTCACCAGACAGTGTGGATAAGCTCCCGCAAGCGAAAGGCCCGCGCATCACGAAGTGAACATCTATTGCCCTAGCCGCAAACGACAAACCCTGATGCTGGACCAAGGAGACCCACCAACAAGCATAATATAGTGCCTCATGAAAATTGCCTTGTTATTCTGCGCTCCGGAGTCGGACGATTGTAACCCTCAAGTCAGGTGTAACCATGAACTAGAATCCCCGCAATGCGTGGTCGACAAAGTTTTAGATCCAAATAAAGCGGGCATGTGTATTAAGCGCATTATTCGTATTGGTCAGCACTCAAGCTATCATCCACGACCGATAAAAACAAATTTTGATGACGCCAGTTTCCCTAAGTTAGTACTCTCTCGCCTTGAACGTCTAAAGGGAATGAAAATTCACATACGCCCTGATGTTGTCCCATAACAGCGTGAGTTGCTCAAGACGGCTACTCTGGAACTTAAACGCCAAGTGCAAGCCGGTGAAACCGATCTAGGAACCGTACATTTTCGTGTAATTCGCAACAAACCCTTTATCAAGAAACCGATCCTGCTGATGCCGCGACAGGCCCACGGATAGCGTTCACGAATGTGCGCAGCCTGATTAACAAAGGGATGATCTACAACATAGGATTGCTAAAAAAACCGGAGGTCTTAGGACTTGCGGAAACATGGCTTCATGAGGGAGTAGTGGATGAGGAACTAAACATTGACGGTTACGTTCATTTCCGCTGTGATCGTAAATTGAGTCCACACGGTGGCTTGCTGCTGTACATCAAGTCCGGTATGAAAAACCGCTTTATAAATTCCTACCTGTTGTGACGGCCTCTCTAAACAAACCTGGTGTCAAACACAAACAGCTAAAGGGATACTTCATGTTGGAGTTGTGTATCTGAGACCCGTGAATGTTATCGCCGATTGGATAGAAACCCTTCGTACACATATTCGAGGACGCAACTTCATTTTAATGGGTGACTTCAATTTCCCGCATTTTGACTGGAATGCCTATGATTGTTTACCAGGAAGTAGCCTGGTGGAGCAAATGTTCGTGAACATGGTGCTCGAAGCGTGTCTGGTTTGGCACGTTCAAGAGCCTAGTAGACTGCTCGTCGGACAATCTCCAGCGTGCCTGGATCTTATATTAACCAAATCCGAACAACCTGTGAGTCTCATCACGCTTCACGAGCCAATTGGAAAGAGCGATAATTTGATCGTCTTAGCCAGACTGAATCTACTGCACTCACGCGACCTTGATCGGACGCCGCGTCGTAACATTTGGAAGGCTGATTTGGCCAGTATGCGCCGAGAGGCCGAATCGTCTGATTGGTTCCTTCTGGGAGGTGACTTAGTCGAGTCATCCTGGTCAAGTCTCAGGGACAAACTTAAATCGCTATGCGAGAAGTTCAGTCCGCTCAGATACAACACCAGAAAACCTACGTTACCACCATGGGACGATCAAAATTTTCGTCAGTTAGCTAGGCGTCGTAAGAAGTTGTGGCTGAAATATCGGAATACCACGGATGCACGTGCCTACGTGGCCTACAAAAACCAACATAACCTATGTAAATCTTCCTAGCTGACGAAATGCGCAGCTTATGAATTGTCGTTAGTGGATTCTGCCAAATCGGCTCCAAAGTAGTTTTTACATACATTAACCGACGTTTAAACCGAAGGATTCGTTGCCCACACTTGAAGATTCCCGCGGTCAACTAAGAGTTTCAGATGAGGGGAAAGCGTCACTTCCAGCTTCTCACTTCGTCTCCGTGTCCATACCAGTCATCACTCGACCGATGACTCCAGCCTACACCCAGTAATAGAAGACTTGAGGTGCACCGCTGAAGAAGTCGCTGGTTAGCTGGAAGTTCTTGATACGTCCAAATCTCCTGGACCAGACGGTTTTCATCCCTTAATGCTGAAAACACTGGCTCCTGTTATAGCTACCCCCTCTCTGATCTGTTCAGTAAATCGCTAGGTCAGGGAGTGATTCCTCGGGAATGGAAGGATTCTGTTGTGAAACCTTTCCCTAAAGGAGGTAACCCGCACAAGCCAGAAAATTATCGGCCAATATGTCTGACATCAATAATTGCAAAGGTCTTGGAGAGGATAGTAAAGAAGGCCCTAATGCAGGTAGTGAAGACAGTTGGAATCCGCAAGGCAGCTCAACACATGTTTTGAGCCAAGGTTCATGTGTGACGAACTTGCTTGTGGCCCGGAAACACTGGGTGCGGGCGTTAAATGATGACGTAGGCGATGACACCATCCTGGTTGATTGCAGCAAACCGTTAAACAGAGTTGATCACGCCGAAATGCTCAACCGAATTAGAAGTTACGGGATCGCTAGCGCTCTTTTTCGGTGGATCAAATCGTTCATTGAGGATAGGCGTTGGAAGGTTAAAGTAAATGATTACTAAACTGATTAGTTTGTCTTTCCGAGTAGCGTACCCAGGATACAGTGCTCGGATCCATCCTGTTAATTCTACTTGTTAATAATGTGCACGAAAGGTTGAAATCGCCTTGTGTGTTGTTTGCTGACGACCTAAAATATGGCGCGAGATCCATGGAGCAGAGGACCATGGCATGCTCCAACGGGACTTGGACCAGCTCCTTGCTTGGTTGCAACAGAAGAAACTGCATGTTAATTCCATAACATTCGAATTTCTGAGCATCGACAGACAGCCATGAACGTTCATACTTCTTGGATGGAAAACAACTAACCGCGGTTTCTAGTGTCCGGGATCTGGGAGTGTTGTCACGCGGAGACCTCAAGTCATGTGATCATACTAAAAAGGCGTACCGATCAGGCTTAAGGGTACTCTGGGCACTAAAAAGGAGTTTCCATATATGGACGGAGGAACTAGTTCTTAAGGTTTACCCAGCACTAGTACGTCCTCTCTTGGAATACGGCGCACCAGCTTACCATCCGGTTACGCGGGGTGAAGCTAGAACTCTTGAGAGGGTGCAACGGCTGGCTACGCGGATGATTCCTTCTCTTCGGACACTGGATTACACTGACAGATGTCGACGATTAAGGTTGCATACTCTAGAATACCGGCGACTAAGAATGGACCTCATAACCGTTTTTCGAGTATTACGGCTGGGACAGTTACCGTCCCTTCGTCCTCTGTTTAAAATCAATGAAACCAGCATCAATGCAAGCTAGAAGTAACACGATTGGACAATGTAAAGCATGTTTATTGTTTTGAACGAGGAGTCGCGCCTTATTGGAATCGTCTACCATCGAGGATTGTGCACTGCGAAACCCTCGACCAATTTAAAAGAGGCTTGACTTGTATTTTGCTGATCTGTGCTATAGTGAAGATGTCTCAGCGGCACTCCAACCACCCATCAACTACTCAACCGCTGGACCCAGGATGTACCTGGAATGACATCTGATTCACTTTTGATGGAGTGCACACAGAAATTTTTTTCTTTTTGCTCCTAATATATCTGATTCTGATACTGTTTCGAGTATGCCACAACTAACCGCAGTTCGGTGACCAGCAGAGACGAGACTTCTCGGTGGCGTTTCTGGTATATTTGTGTGATGAAAATTATATCATTACAACCGCCAGTGACGTGGATGTTCCTGTGGGTCCTTAGTAGATTAAGAACAATGTCAGGGGCCGTTTGACGGTCGATGTTAGTCAGATACGCAAACTCAGTTACAAATATGATATAGGAACAAGGCGAGATTTTCATGGCTGTTCCGTCATGAATGTTGCTAAGCGGTGATAGAGTATAGTGTTATGATCGGTCATCAAAGTGAGCAAATCGACAAGTGCGAATCACACCGCGTCTAGGCAAAAAAAAGCAGTGCCCATACTAGTAGTCTCCACTGCAATGGCAACATAAAATGATCAAAAAGAGCCAAACTCATGGTTAAAAAGTAATAAAAAAATCGAGAAGGAATAAGGCGACGAATGAGCCAAAAAGAGCAAGGAAAAAACGAGATGGAGAATACAGAAGGTGAAGACTCAAAGGTTGAGGGCCTCAAGTTCAAGTGGGACTGGAACGATAAGATTACCCCGTGTGTTCCTTCTTCAGCGGGTCGTTGAACCAGGAGTTGGCAGACTTTGAAATACTGATGGACCTAAAACAAAGACCGCATCACACCGTCCGACCAATTAGTGCCCACGTATCCTGCCCTAGCAGTCCTTGCTGGGCCGGTTACGAGAAGTAAGAAAGAGAAAAAATAAGCAGAAGGTAAAAAGGAAAGTGAAAAGAGCGAAGCAAGTAGAATACCAAGATATATGAGGCATTAAAAAGAACAGAAAAGGGAAGGTGAGTCAGGAAAAAGGAAAGGTTTGGTGTTGCCACAAAAGAGCATCGAGCTAGCGCGCAAAAGCATTAGCCGTACGTTCTTTAACCACGCGTCCTGGAAGCGAATTCCAGCGATCTATAACGGCGCGACAGACGAGTTTCCGTCCTATTCCTATCAGACCGTGGTTTATGCAGTTTCAGTGGGTGACCGCGGAGATTAGGTGAAGTAGCGCGACTAAATAGCTCTGAGAAGCCTGGGCTTATCTTTCCCGTCAAAATACGATAAGAAGCAGGTCCCCTCTTATCCTTCGGTAGTGCAGTGAGTACATCCCCAAACTGAGCAAGCGCTCAGGATACGTCTGTCCCCGTAGACCCTGCACTAACCGAGTGCCCAATCGTAATACGCACTCCAAGTCCACCTTGCCTCGGATGCCCGCTGTCACCTTTCCTCTTCAACTTCGCTATTGACGAAGTCATGGAAATCGCGTTCACAGCACACGACTTAGGTGTGGATCTGCTCCCAGGAGAACGACTTCTTGACTTGGAGTATGCCGACGATATTGACCTAATCTGTGACAGCACACAGACGTGCGAAATGGCACTGGACAGATTAGCACTGGCTGTCAGTCGCTTCGGCCTTCGCTTTGCACCATCGAAGTGCAAAGCGTTCCTCAAAGGTTGGCCTGGACCGCCTCCTTCGCTGACCTTTGGTGGCGATCAGCTAGAAGTCGTTCAAAAATTCAACTACCTGGGAAGTTGTATCAGCGCCCGTGGGATTGAAGATGAGATCACGAACCGTACAGCAAAAGCTCGAGGCGCTTTTGCTAACGTTCGCCACTTATGGCGCTGGCGCGACATCACACTCGCCCTGAAGGGTAGAGTGTATAATGCAACGGCACTTTCGACCCTACTGTACGGTTGTGAAACCTAGCCCCTTAGATCAGGGGACATAAAGAGGCTAGTTACGTTCGACCACCGGTGCCTTCACAATTTAGCTCAAATCTAGTGGGAACACCGCGTGAGCAACGAGCGCGTTCGACGCTTTGTTTACGGCACGGGAAAAGGAAACTAACTGCTCAGCACCGTTATTTCGCGCACCAGGCTCAGATGGCTCGGCAACATGTTACGCATGCCAGCCCACCGACTCACGCGACCTGCGTTGCTTGCGTGCCGCGGGTGTGAATGGAAGAAGAGAAGAGGTGACCAAACGATGACTTGATCGAGAGGAATGAAGGCCCTCACTTAGAAGCTGGCCTCAGTTGGAGCGTCTCGGCTCCCTGGTTGGGGTCTGAAAGACGATGAACACATTTGGCTGGACACACTTGTTGATATGGCTAGGAGCCGACCTCAGTGGTATTCGTGCTGTGAGTTTCTTTGTCCCACCCATCCCTCTTAGCCTCCCCTTCCAACCACGATCACATTATTTAGCATTTAATAACCTTGCATAGTAAATTTTTTTCTGTTGCATAGTAGCCGGCAAGTAGCTTACCGAAACGATGCCCATTCGTTGTCGGTAGCTCAGCTGGCTTGCACCTGTTGCATTTTATTCCCTTTTTGGTATTACGGCACAGTAGCTGAGATGTTCCCCACCTCTAGCTAACATGCATAGTGTGTGTGTGTGGCTTGGTTAAGACATCGTAGACTAGCTTGGATACAATATTCCAGGTGGGGTCGGACGAATGCCGAAAATAGCTTTACAAACAAATTGGCCGTTAGGATTACGAAAGAGCGGGGGATAAACCACATCATACGAAACCCGCCGACAATATATCGGGTGGGAGGATTAGCAGCTCCGATTCGGAGAACAGAGCACTTAGCCCTATTTATGGGCATCAACCATAAGGTAAACCATTCCCAGAGCCCATCCAGTGCATGCTGAATTGCCTCAGGACCCTTCGGGATATCCACAATATTCCAGAGCTTAAGGTCGTCAGCAAACATTAGTGATGACACTCCTAGCTCCCCCGACAAGTCATTTACATAGATCGCGAACAACAATGGCTCCAATGCCGAGCCCGGCCGGACGCCGCTAAGGACAGCTCGGCTGAGCGAAAGGCTACGCCCCACCCGTATTCACTGTTCCCTCCCCTCAAGGAAGGCAAACACCCATTGAAGGGCGCGACCAGATATACTGTAAGATCTCAACTTTAGTGAGTGTCGAAGATGAGGAACAGTGTCAAAAGCTTTCGAAATGTCCACGAATAGCACGTGTACAGCGTGGCCACTGTCCACCGCTTCGGCCGAAAGTTCACGAGCTACAAATAGACTAGTCTGACATGAAAATCCCTTGCGGAATCCATGTTACGCAACACTGAG